CTTTGTCTGAGGGACAATTGGCTATAATTTTTCCAGTTTGTGAGTTTTCTTTTTAGTCTGTTGGAGATTTGCTTCAAAGTGCAGAAACTTTTCAAAAATATGACATCCCAGTTGTTGATTCCTTGAAGCATTTCTCATGAAGTTTGTTTTTATTCATCCACTCTCTACCTACCCCTATGTCTTTAAGGCTTTTACCTAGATTTTTCTACAGAAGATTTTGTCTTTCTTTCTTTCTTTCTTTCTTTCTTTCTTTCTTTCTTTCTTTATTTCTTTATTTATTTTTGGTGGAACCAGGGATTGAACTCAGGCCCTTGTGCTTGCCAGGGAAGCACTTATTCCACTGAGCCATCTCTTTGACCTGTGTTTCTGTTTTAATATTTAAATCTTTGACCCATTTTGACTGTAGCTTTGTGTGTGGTGATAGGCATGGATCTAGTTTTAGACTTTGACATGTGGAAAGCCAGTTTTACCAGAAGAATTTATTAAAGAGGCTATCTTTCTTCCATTGAACCTGTTTGGCCTCTTTATCAAGGATAAGGTGGCTGAGTGTGTTTGCAGTTGTTCCTGTGTCTTCTAATCTGTTCCACTGATTCTCAGGTTTGTTTCTATGGCAGTTCCATGAAAATCAGTAACATTTTTATACACTAAGAACAGGCACACTGAGAGAGAAATTAGGGAAACCACATTTTTCATAATAGCATCAAAAATGAAATAGTTAGAAATCAATCTTACAAAGGATGTAAAAGATTTATACAGGGCTGGGGAGATAGTCCAGTAGAATAAGTGCTTGCCTGGCAAGCACAAGGTCTTGAGTTCAATCCCCAGTTCCACCAAAAAAAAATTATTCAGTGAAAATTATGGTACTCTGATAGAAAAGACTGATGATGATTTGAAAAAAATGGAAAAATATTCCATGCTCCTGGACAGGAAGAACGAACATTGTGAAAATGGTCATACTATCAAAACTGTTATTGAGATTCAATGCAATCCCAATTGAAATACCAGTAGAATACCTTACAGGGCTATATAAAACTTTCCTCAAACTCATTTGTAACCAAAGGAGATCCAGAATATCAAAAGAAATCCTGGGAAACAAAGGAAAGACAGTAGGTATCACAATCCCTATAATATTTGTAATTATACTATAATAGAGTTAGTTTTTAAAACAGACATGTTTGCCTCTAGTGGAAGGAGCAGGGATTGCATGGGAAGGGGCATTAGGGCAACATGCAGATTGCTGGTAATGTTTTATGTCTTAGTTGGAATCAGTAGATGTATTTGTCAAAACTCCGAAGCATAGTTAATGTGTACATTGCATTGTATATGTTGTACCTTGTTAAGAAAAACTACATAAAAATATTGAATCTTGTTTTTTTTTTTTTAAAGCAGACACCTCTAATTAGTTTTAGCTAAATTTTAAATAGCCCCTATTCTGAAGTGGTTTCTAGGCCCCATTTATTCTCACTTCACATGTCCACCTGCACACCCAAATGAATGCATTCATGTTTGATTGAATTAGGACCTTCTCACTGAGGTGCATCCCTGGGTCTTTATTTTTCTTTTAATTTTTTGAAGCAGATACTTGGAAAGTCATTTAGTTCCTAGGCCAGCCTCAAACCTGTGGTCCTCCTGCTTTAGTCTCCCGGGAAGCATCCTAACTGGATAACAGGTATGTTAGCCAGGTTAGGCACGTACACACAGGCCAGACATGTGTGAACACAGCTTGTCTAATGTGGGAGACCAGTCTTGGTTGCCCCAATACAGGCTGAGAGATGCACAGGGAGAGAAAAGAACAGGGAGCCCATAACAGGGGTCTCCTGACCCCTCTTGGGGAGAAGAAGAGGGCCAAGAGGAAACTATTCCAGAGAGAAAGTGTCCTAATCTTAACTCTGAAGGATGAAAAGGAAGAGCTCTGCTGTCTAAGTATAGAAGGACATGAAAGAAAATACATGGAAGAAACAATGGAAGGGGCAAAGGTGAGGAAAACTCAAATCTATATGAGAATCTAAAGAAAATGCCACATGACTGAGGCAGAATCTAGATGAAAAGCATAACAGGATTGAACTTGAGGGTTAGAGGAGCCAGCAGGAAGGGTTATGCATGCTCTGCACAGTTTGTGGACCAGGATCACTGAACTAGGCAGATGGAAGTGGGAACCAAGAACTGTTGGCCTTTATCTTTAAAAGGGTTAGAAACAGCAGACTCCTGAATGATGAAGGGGCAGCTTGTAAAGGGGGAGACTGGTTGAATCCCATATCCTTGCAGTACAAGAGGTCAGAAAGAAGGGAGAATGTAATCTCTGCTCTCCATCTAAATTTCTAGGAGAAGTTGGTGCTGCTAAACAGAAGTGTAAGCCACAAAGAAGAAGGAGCAGGTGGTGGGGAGGCTGCACAGGAAGATGAGACTGACCTTTGGCTTGCATGGCTGTGTGTTTGTATTGTATCCTGTTGCTGCCCATACCTTGGCAGATATTAATGCTCTGCTGAGCAGTCTGGGTGAGAATGAAGGCATGAGAGTCTGAAGAGTGACTCCATGAAGAATCACACAGCATAGCATGTAAACAGAGAAAGGGGAAGATGCAAGAATAGAACTCCAGACTATAGAAGGCATAGGGGATGTTGACAGGGTGAGGAGGGTGAAAGTCAAAATCCCAGCAACTATTATTATTGGACAGAATCATTATTATTAGACAGAATCCTTAATAATCCAAATGTCCAACTCTGAATGGCCAACAGTGTCACAATCTGCAGAGGTCAAATAAGATTCAGCTGGAAGGTGGCAATTCAGTTAGTGCTGCAGCAAGAATTTGTCTCTGTTCCAGCAGTGGTGGTGGAATACTACAGGGTGAAAGGTACATAAAATAG